AAAAAAAGTTTGAAAGAATTCCACAATCTGATAAAGTAAATGTCTGACTTATCCACTTCTAAGAGCCCTTAAGTGTTTATGATGTTGCTTGTTGAATCTGTGCCCCTGCTTCATTAAAAGAATCAAGAGACTCAGGTAAATTATATTTAATTGTTTGAGATATCTAGGGGAATTTAGCTGATTAGATTTGTGAAGCCATTTTAAGCATCTCAGGGCTTATCAGAAGGCTAAAGCAGAGGGTCCTTGGTTAACCACTTACCATTTTGCCCTAACTGTCACTCAGGCAGTGTGTTTATTTACATACTGACTACCCCAAGCGTCGCTTGGACAAGTGTCATTTCAACCAGTCAATTCTTGCTTGCATGAGATACATTTGTACATCTGTTTGTCTTATAGCAACTATTTTTGCATACTTTTTAATTTAGAATGTTGTATTCACCTTTGATGTTTGTGTCTAGTGAAATCTAATAAGTTCTGTTTTTTAAAAACTAGTCTTATATTATTTATTTATTTAATGAGACAGGGTATCACTCTGTAATTCAGGCTGACCTGGAACTCACTACTCTAGCCCAAGCTGGCCTCAAACTCAAAGTGATCATCCTGCTTCAGCCTCCCATGTGCTGAAATTACAGGCATCTGCCACTATGCCAGGCTTCATGATATTTTATTTGTGAAGAATAAGCTGTAATTTTCTGCTATAATCTATAAAAATTGTTTTTGTTTTTTGAGACAATGTCTCACTATACAGTTCAGGCTGATTCTGAACTTACTATGTAGTCCAGACTGGCCTCCAACCTGCCTTTATCTCCTGAGTGTGCCACCATGTCTGCCTAAAAACCCATTAGATATAATTTTTATACTTCTGCAGAACTCAGTCACATTCTTTTACAATACGAAATGGACACTGAGACTGCATAGGACGTGCCAAAATAGAAAAAATTGAAAAAGGGAGAAATGTGAGCGTATCAGAGAGGAAAAGTCTGTGTTACAAAAGGGAAGAACAAAGAAGATGTCTCCTTGTTCATAATACAGAACTGTTCATAATACAGAAATGATAGAATTTGAGAGAAGAAATGAAATTAAAAGAATTCCAATAGTGGGTAAATGATTATAATAATTCTCTGGGTGGTACTGACAAAGGTGACCAACATCTAACAAGCTATCCTATAATCAAAAAGTGAGGAAAAATATTATTGTAAAATATTTATGCACCTTCTGGGCCAAACAATATGGAACTTATATTTACTTACTCGCTTATTTATTTATTTATTTATTTATCTTTTTGAGACAGGGTCTCACTCTGCAGTTCAGGCTGATCTTGAACTCACTCTGGAGCCAGGCTGGCCTTGAACTCACAACGATCCTCCTGCCTCAGCCTCCCGAGTGCTGGAATTACAGGTGTGCACCACCATGCTGGGCCTTATTCATTATTTATTCAAAACAAGGGAGCTAAAAAAATCATCTGCAGTTTGGATTAGGTCTAATAGACCAAAGAATTGAAAAAAAAGTACGGGATAGCAAAATGCCAACCAGGATGTCCATCAACAATGTCTTTATCATTACATTTAGTGAGCAGGCGTTTTACTAAAATTATACCATGCACAGAAAAAAAGGAAAGGCCAACATGACAGCATGGGATGTGTTATTCAAAGAAAGACAATAATGCAAAAAGAATTTAGAAAGAGACTAGATACTACTGTACAGTTTGCAACATTGCATGGTATATTGAATGTTTTAAACTATACCATATACAAGCCGGGTGCGGTGGTGCACTCCTGTAATCCCAGCACTCAAGAGGCTGAGGCAGGAGGATCACTGTCAGTTTAAGGCCCACTTGGGCTACACAGTGAGTTCAGGGCCAACCTGAACTGCATAATGAAACTCTGTCTCAAAAAGGAAAAAAAAAGTTATACCATATACAGAAAAATTATTTAATACATTTGATAAAATTGTTTTTATATTTCCTATAATATTATCTTGTAAAAAATTAATGAAAAATATGCAATTTTGGGTCATCCTGTAATTAATTGGACTTGTAAGTGGTTAAATTGGGTGTGGTGGTGCACACCTGTAATCTCAGCACTTGGGAAACTGGGGCAGTGTCTTGGTTACTTTTCTTTCACTGCTGAGACAAAATACCCAATGCCCAAAATTAAGGAAGGAAAGGTTTCTTTAGCTTACAGTGTGTGGAGGTTTCAGTCTATAATCAGCTGGCTCCAAGGCAGGGTGACATGGCACAGGGGCAACCCTTCAAGGTGGCACAAGGCAGCAAAAGCAGCAAGGGCAAGAAGAGGGAGAGCAGCAGCAAGCAGCCTCTTTTCCTCCCTTACATTGTATGCAAACTACCTGCCCAGGGCAAGTGTAACACTCATACCCATAATCCCAGCAGTGGACCATGGATCAATCATAAACTCTAGCAGCCAGCCTCAGGACTGCATGAGGCTTTGGGGGAACATCCAGACACAAACCATAACAGGCAGGAAGATTACTGAGAGTTCGAGGTCAGCCTGGGCTACATAGTAAGTTCAAGGCCAGCCTCAATTACAGAGGGAAACCCTGTCTCAAAAAACAAACAAACAGAAGGGTCCCTGGTCTGAGGCCAGCCTGAGCAATTTAGGAAGGCTTTATCTTAAAATAAAAATTTAAGGCTGGGGATGTAGGTTGGTGTTCCCTAAGTTCACCTTCACCCAAGGGGAAAAACAAAAGGGAAATACAGCTGTGAAGAATTGATTTTTTTTTTTTTTCCGGTACTGGGAATTGAACTCAGGACCTTGCACTTGCCAGGCAGGCACTTGTACCACTGAGCTGTATCCCCAGCCCCTTACAGCTGTGAAATGCGTAATTTAATTGGACATTAATCAAAGAATGTGGAAGTGAGTTTTACACTCAAATTATTAGTCAATATAATGGTGTCTGTAACTGTAAGGCTGATGGCAACTGTAAGGCTTAAGGAAAATGTGATTTTCATTTAATAACTTTAATAAGGGCTGGGCATGATGGCATGTGCCTATAATCCCAGGAGGCTGAAGCAAGATGGTCACTTCAAGTTGGAGGCCAACCTGGGATACATAATAAGATCCTGTCCAAAAAACAAAACCAAAAAAACCCCAAAACCCAAATCAAATTTTAAAAAAAATTAATGTTTATTATGAACTAAAATACAAATTACAAAGTAATTTTTTCCATACACAAGTCCTCTAATTTAGATACAGTTTCCTTACTGGTGTTGTCTGTTTTATTCTAATGATGTCACCCATCCAGAGCATGGCCCCTGGCACACAACCACACTGGCATTTGTTGCGTGAATAAATAAATGAGGTGCTAGGTAGTGGTTGCCAACCCGTGCCACCCTCACCACAGTGGTACACAAAGGCGAATGGAAGCACATTGCATTTATTAATGCGTCAGCCCAGGGGAGACCCCCGGCCAGCAGCATCAGAGGCCAATCCCCAAGGTCCTGCCTTCCTTGCCCCATGGAGGGGATGCTGTTTGGGGGCTCTCCGATGAGCAGGGGCCAGCTCAGGTGCTCAGCATTTCCCAAGAGGGCAGCGGCCTGGGAAGAGGCAGAGCTGGAACTAGGGAGCGACAGGCCCTGGGGGGATGGCGCTCCTCACCACCCTGGATCCGCGCTCCCCCACCCCTCAGGAGGCCCCTGCCAGGGCTGAGAGGGTGCTTTCCCACTCAGGCACTGTGGGCACCCTCCAGTGCAGCTTTAGGGTGACAGTGGTGACTTTCAGGGTGGCGCAGGTGGGCTGCTGTGGCTCCCTCTCACCTCAGTAACTGGCCTCCAACTGGCCATTGTTGCCGCTCTTCACTTCAGGGCTCCCTGAGACACAGACAGACCAGAGACCGCTGGGGTCAGCAGAGTATTTCTACCCACCCACTTTCCCTTGCTTTTCTTTCCTTTCCCTTCCTTTCCCTTTCTCTTTCCCTTTCCTTTCCTTTCTTTTGAGACAGGGTCTCACTATGTACTTCAGGCTGGCACTGAGCTCCTCAGGCTGGGCTTCAACTCTCGAGTACCCTCCTGCCTCAGCCTCCTCCGTGCTGGGATTACAGTCCTGCACCACACACCCTACTTGCCCACCCACTTTCACCTGTGAGTCTGGCAGACCCACACTCACCAAAGGGCCCCGGGCCCAGTGCGGGCTTCAGCTGTCCATAGGGTCCTGGGAAAAGGAGCAGAAAAGAGCCCATTGCCTTCTTCCCTGTCCCACCTGCCCTTCGCCTCCCAGTTTGTCCCATCTTCAGGCCCCTAGGCGCTCTCCAGGCTCCATCCTTTCTGCCTGTTCCTTGCTTCCTCACCCCATCCCCTCAGTCTTGAGCACAGCCCCTCCGTTTCTGCCTCCACAGGGCTGTGGGGTCTCTACAAGGCCGTGGGCTCCACATGCCCCATTACCTGGCTGGCTCCTGAGCCCCGCGTGTCCGTATCCAGGCCTCACCCAAGTGGCCCAGGGCCGTAGGTAGGGCCAGGGAGAGCCCAGCTGGGCCCCTGGCTGACCTGCTAGAGGAGAGCTGTGTGGGCACCCCCAGCCTCCAGAGCTGGTCCTCCCACTTGGGCCGCAGAACCCCCAACCACTCTCCAGCTCCTTTGGCCCTCACCTGCTTGCTTCTTACGGACCCCTTCCAGAGCTGGGCCTGCAGCCTTTGGGTACATAGGAGCCTTCTCTCTTTGCCCTGCAGGAGATCCAAATTATTCTTGCTGAGCTCCTGGGCACATCCCTTTCCCTATGCCTTGTCCCCTGGGTCAGACTCACCATTCCTAAAGCCATTGGCCTCAGGGAACCCTGGAGGAGGAAAGAGAAGGTGAGAGGTGAGGCTGCCCTGGGGGCCCAGCACTCCTGCCCCACCCCAGCCACCCACCTGGCTGTGCTTCAGCCTCGGGGAAGACGCCAGCTCCCAGGGCTCCATTCCTGTAAGCAAACCCTGCGGGAGAGATTGGACAGGTTTGGGGTACGGGTGGGGTGCTGGTAGGGGTAGGGGTAGCACTAGCAACAGGGAGACTTAGACAGATTGACTCAGAACTCAGAGGCAGCTTTAAGAACCTCAAATTGGCTTTTCCTGCCTGGATCACTCCCACCACCCTCATCTAACTAACACGGGTGCAATCTGCTGCCTCTAGGAAGCATGCCTGACTTCCCTTCCGGGTGACTTCCAAACTCGCTCTTTCTTTCCACCTGGCTTTGGGCTATCCCTCTACCCTCACCTGGGCCAGGATCACACCTGGTTCCAGCCACCATGATGGCCCAGTGGGTGGCAAGTTTGTGTTGGCGAATAAGGAGAGAAACCTGAGGGACAGGAGAAGAGAGGGGCTGGCCAGGAGGGAGAGGGGCAGAGGAGGGCTCACCGACTTTCTGCAGCAGGGGGCCACCGACGAAGCCTGGGGAGAGGAGACTGGGTCAGAGCAGGCCAGCCTTTGCTAAGCCTCTTTCTGGGCTGGCGGTGGGAAGGTGAGGGACAAGCGGGCAGGGGGTGAGGAAGGGACTGAAAGGCAGACAAAGACCGTCTCACTCAGTTCTGCTCCAGGTCCGTAGCCATTGGGAGGCTGGTAGCCTGTGAAGAGGGCGGAGGTTAGGGGTGCAGGGGGAGACTTTCCCTGATTCCCCGGGTGCCAAGTGTGGATCTAGGGGAGTGGACCAGAGGAACCAAGCACAGAAAATAGCAAGTGAGGTTGAGGATAGATTGTGGGAGGGCACATCCCTTTCCCTACCTGCTGCACTTTGTCCCCTGGGTCAGACTCACCGTTCCTAAAGCCATTGGCCTCCGGGAACCCTGGAGGAGGAAAGAGCAGGTGAGAGGTGAGGCTGCCCTGCTCCCAAAGTCCTTGGTTCTAGTACTCAAGGTACTTGAACAGCTGTGCAGCCTGGAAAGCGAGAGGGACAAAGGAGGGGCCCTATCCTGGTATGCAGATGGGGGGCATAGATTCAGTGGGGTTTGTCCCTCTGAGATGTAGACCTGGGGGAGGCCAGAGTCCTACCTGCTTTCTGAGGTTCCTGTCCCCACTGGGTGGCTGGAGTCAGCGCTAGGAAGAAAGTTGAGGGACAGGAGTGAGCCCAGCACAGGTTTCAGGAAGGCTGCAGCCTGTCTGAGCCAAAAGCCAGGCTTTTCTTTTTTTTTT